ATGCACGTACGTATGTATGTGTGAAAAAATCAACCATCTCAATATTTGAATAGATTACAAAAACATATATATGAAAATATATTGTATTGTAATAAATTCAATAATATAATAAAAAAATTTTCATTCCTCATTCCTCAAACCAAACATAGCGTTAAAGTTTCGTTTTGGAAGCATTTATTATAATTAACGTTAGTATTTTAAACATTTTTGTAGTGCAGATTAAATTTGAAAACTTTACCACTAAAAATTGTAACTCCGTATTAGATAGTAATTTTTAAATGCTAACGTAAAATGCTAAAGTTAATGGGCCTGTTTGGGAATAGCATTAGCGTTTTAGATAAAATTTTAACAGTACAGATTACTTTGAAAATACTAACGCTGACCGTAGATAACCTTTTCAAACGCTAATCACTAACTCTATTCTGAACCACAGCCAATGTTAAACGGGTATACTACTCTCTTGCCCTCATAGATGTTTAATTTCTTTTTCCTATCACAAAATAATTTTTTCACCTTTTATTTTTTCGTCAAATTAAAGAAATATGTAACTCACAAAATTTTTTCTTCTTAAACAAGTTTTACAAGCACAATTTACTATTTTTCTAAAATCTTGAACTTTTTTTAATATAGAAGAGAGATGATATTATTTTTCCTTATCCAATTGTGTCTCTTAGGGACTGTTTGGCAACTTCTGAATAGGTAAGTGCTGAACCAGTAAGAGGTCTGAACCATTAAGAGCTAGTATATTGCTTAACTATTCAGAGGCAAATGTCTGATCAATTCAAATAAGAGGTCTTAACCATTCAGACTCTGTATAATACTTAACCATTCAGAGGCAAATCACTTAACCATTCAGACATCTGAACCATTAAGAGGCTGAAACAAACAGTCTGAACCATTAAGTGCTGAACCATTCAGACATCTGAACCATTAAGAGACTGAAACAAACAATCTCTTAACGTGCATTGGCTGGCTGGGCAGGTGATGCTTTGTCTTGCCGTTTCCTGGCCCTCCTCTCTTGACTTCGGAAAATGATACAAGCCCAAAAAAACTTGGGAAAATGTTAGTCACGAAGAGTAATGTTACAAACTTTACAAATTTATTATTTGTGAACCCTTTGAAAAACTAATCAAAATAGTCTTAGGGTCCGTTTGGTATATGGAATTGGTGGAATTCGAATGGAAATTCCATGGAATTCAATTCCATAGAATTGAATTCTGCCAATTCCAATTCATTTTTTGCACTATCAATTCCAAATCCACATAATTTTTGTGTTACCAAACACCAGAATTGGAATTGAAGTCCCTATTTCCAATTCCATAGTTTGAATTCAATGTACCAAACGGGACCTTAAAAAATTTAAAAATGAAAATTTATATTGATAAATGATGAGCTAGTGAGTTTTGTGATTATTTTATTTGTGACTCTCAAATTCCCCCCAAAACTTGCCGCAAGTTTACGCCAAAGGAATTACATAGAGTTTGCTATTTACTTCTATAATCAACAAGTGATCTATAATTAAAAAATTATATGATATATTAATTACATAAAATAATAATTTGAAAATATTTTATAAGATAAATCTAATAAATTATTTTTATATCAATATCTAATACTATACATTTTACTTAATTTATGATCGAAATTTATCAATTTTGATTGCAAAAAATTAAAGGTGGACAAATACTCTGAGACAAAGATAATATATGCTACATTTTCTTATTTCAAAGATGAAAAAATAATGCTAATACTCTCTGAAATTTGGGATGGTATACCGTATACGAGTACTCTAAAATTATATAATTATCACTATTGCAATGAGAAATTTAATATTTTGTAACAATATTCAATTTTCGGGAACGCTAATGATATGATAAGTTTGGAAAATTTTTGTAAAATCTCAATTTTCGAGTTATTTGTACTCCATCGGTCATAAATTAAGTTGCATGTTTATTATTTGCAGAATTAAATTTTATTCATTTTTTTTATTTTATTACTCATTTGATAAAATAATATAGTCATGTCACCTCTTGTTTCATAGAGGTTGAGGTGGTATACCGCATACGCATATACTAAAATTATATAATTCTCACTATCGCAATGGGAAATTTAATATTTTTGTAACAATATTGAATTTTAATTTTGCGAACGCTAGTGATATGATAGATTTGGAATATTCTTGCAAAAACTCAATTTTTCGAGTTATTTGTACTCAATCTTTCACAAATTAAGTTGCATGTTTATTATTTGCAGGATCAAATTTTATTCATTTTTTTCTTATTTTTGTTACTTATTTGATAAAATAATATACTCAAATCACTTCTTGTTTCGTAAAGCTTTTAATATAGTTTTTTAATATGTGAACTTTGTTTTTTTAATTCTGCATTAATTCTATAATAAAATGCATTGAAAATAACTTCAATGAAATATCATAATTACGTATATCATAATGATATTCAAGAATGAGATTCAATTATAACATAATATAGTCATGTTACCTGTTGTTTCGTAGAACTTTTAATATAGTTTTTTAATATGTAAACTTTTTTTTTAATTCCGCCAACTTCAATGAAATATCATAATTATATCCAGACAAAATAACTTCAATCAAATATCATAATTGTACAAAATAGTAATATTTATAAAAAACTGAAATAAAATTAACAAATGCTTGGACAAACCAAATTGTATCGAGATATCTGGCGTGGACAAAAAAATTGAGAGATTAAAATAGCGCAATTTAAAAATGGGAATTCAACTAAAAAAAAGTGATGTCAAGAATGGGATTCGAACCCATGCCCTTTCGGACCAGTACCTGAAACTGGCGCCTTAGACCAACTCGGCCATCTTGACCTGTTGCGAAGTGCGGTCCCTCGCCTTTATTTGTTTATTGTAGTGTGCATAAAAACAAAGTGCATTATATAACTTGGAAAATTACACAAAAATATACGTTCATTCCCAATATGCCTTTTCCAATTTAACTTTTTGTAGTCAAATATCTAAACTAGATCATCAATTAATTAAAATATTAATTGATACTCAACCCCCTGATTTTTTTTATTTTGTTGAATTGTTTTAATTGACATAAAGGGAGGTGAAAACGGTCTGGATCCGGTAATTATAAGGAATGATGGTGCTTGGAATAATTTTGTGATTGAATGGTACACCATAGATTCTCAAAATGAATTATGGCAAAATCCATATGGTGCCCTAAGGGCAACATGTAAAGAGTATTTAGTGTCAATAATTAAGTTTAAAATTCAATGAAAGACTCACCATGCACAGTGTGCATTGAATGATGTTTGATTCTGCGAATGATTCAAGCTCTATATTTGATCTAAATGAATTAATATTGCTCTTAGGGTACAACTCGGTCAGTAAAAACCCAAAGTATTATCAAGATAGTCTTGCTCAGCTCGCGGCATGCAATGTACAAGTTCTAACATCTCGTCCATTTAAAATTTTGAAATTAAATGACTTATAAGATGAGACAAGCCATGACAGTTTTAATAAACTCACTAATTGAGACATATTCTGTATTTTACTATTTAGGAAAATTCTTACGTGCTTTTGAGATCAATTTTCATTTTTTAAATCTTGGTGCATTGATAGCATAAAAACTTAGACATTTTGCAAAAAAAAATGCACACTAACCCATTAAATATATGAAAAGATTCAGGGCACTAGAAATACCCGTGAAGCCCCGGGGCTTCAAAATTTCTTTCTATGCCACGTCAGCTTTAACTTACCTCACAGATTCAGTGGAAATGGGTTTGAAGCCCCGGGGCTTCAAACCTTCATTTTTTAAATTTTTAAATATACATCTAAATTTTAATTAATAAATTTTAATTAATTTATTATTTAAATTATATTGAAACAAGAACAATTAAAAAAATTACATTCATTAAATTTAAAGAAATTGAAACGAAAATGATTTTAAAAAATTACATTCATTAAATAAAAAAGATAGCGACAATGATTAAAAAAAATACATTAATAAAAAAACCAAGGTAAATTATATTTGGCCTTGATATCTTTTTGTCTTCTCCTCCGGGACCGGACGCATTCCTTGTAAACTCCGATAAACTTTCGGACTTTACTGTTGATGTGGCTCCATTTGGAAGTGAGTTGGTCCCGGGTACGGTAGGAGCCGTCCTTGTTCATCACCGTGAAGAACTTCTCCTCGATACGATCCCACATCGCATCCTTCGTTTGCTCCGAACCTTTAAAAAGTATAAGACGAAATTTTTTTATAACACAATTATATATAATTTTATATAAATATATTAGAAAATATAATTTTTACCAACGATAGGATGCTCGGAGGCGTCAACCCAAGCCGACGCCAACAAGCACTCTTCCTCTGGCATCCACTTTTGGACTGACCGCGTCGCCTCGGTCATTGTGCCTTTCGCTTTGTGGCTCTTCCGGCGTGTACTTTTTTGGTGCCGGATGGTCCCGATTGAGTCTCCGGAACTGACTCCTGCTCAAAGACGTACCCCAATTGTTGTGTCTCGAACATCGACGGATTACTTGCGAATTGTTAGAAATACTACATAGCGTGCTCGTTAGGCTCGAGATTGTCGGGGAAGAAGCCGGAACCGGAAGGATTCATGTTGAAAAGAGAGTTGGAGAATTGGAGAATTGAAGAAGAGATTAAGAAGATTGATAGATGTGAGGATTGGAGATTGAAAAGTGTGAGAATTGGAAGAGATGAGTTTGAAATTTATATAAAAAAAATAATTTTTAAAATTAGGCAACGACTATTTTAGCCGTTAGAATGGGGAAGGGGAGCGTCAAACATCATGAAGCCCGTTTCACGGCATAGGGGCGGTGCTTAACGTCCCCAAGCGTTAAAAATTGGGTTGAGGCCGGTGGGCGTTACACCCGTTTCCACTGCTCTCATATTTTAGATCTGAAATTTAAGACTACAAAAATAACACTACTGTTTGTCTCTTCTACCAACTCTATGATAGGAATGTGGTTCAAAATAGATTAACAAAACCCAAAAATTTTTTTTATTTTTCCCGGCCAAGAACTCATTTTATTTTACTATGGACTCAAACCGGAAAATTTGAGACGGGGGGACCTTCAAAAATTTCATCAGATTTTTCCGGATTCCTCCTAGGGCCTGGCAAACGGTGTGGATGAAGCTCATCAGCTGATGTTGACGACGATCAATTGTTAGATCCCATTCCATTTCATGCGGCCAATTCTTTCCCCTTTTTGCAATTCCAAAAGCAAATTCGTTTCTTTCTTTCAATTTCTTGAGCTGAAACAGAACCCTAATCTCTCCATCCCTACCGCTTAATCATCTCTCGTCAAGTCCTTTTTTTTTTAAAAATTAAATATAAATCCCTTCTTCCGCCATTCCTTCCCCTTAATCATGTGGCTTGATGAGCCTGAACCCACAGTTCTTTTTTCATCGCCGGCCTGAGCGATTGGTCAAGGGAAATGCCCCATTGTATCCTTCAACAAGTGGGTATGCCTCGAAATCCCATCTTGTTCTCCTTTTTTTCATGTCATTTACAATGCCTTGATTAATTTAAAGTTCTGTTAACATTTTTGTTCGTTTTTAGCTTTCCTCCGTAGGGATGGGGAGCTTCTCCGTTATTGTGCTTGAATGTTGAAATATATGATTATTGATTTGTGTTGAGATGGTAATCTGAGAATGAAGGATTAGTTATGGCTTCATTTTAGTATCCTGTAATGGGATGTCTGGGACAGTGATCTCAACCTTTTTTGTTGTGTGCTGCTCAAGGGGCGCATGCCCTTTTTGCTACGTGTAGCACGTCAAAGCAGTTAGAGAGGATATTATGCTGTATTAGGAACATTGCACTTCGTACTTTTGTGTAGAACCTTTGGTTAAGATTATAAACCAATTTACAGGGTAAGGTTCGGTTAGACGTAATGGATTGCAATGTAATCAAATGGATATGCAGTGTAGATTTGCACTAAAAATATACTCTGGGTTTTTTTACGTTATATCTCATCAAGGTTTATGGAAAGCGACCCAAGTGTTTGATGCACATGTATGTGTTGTTGTCTTGTTGACATATAGAAGGAAGTATAATCTTACACTCATTTTGTACATTTTCATATCAAACTTCATGCTTCATTTTTTGATTAATTTGTTTGAGCTTTGTTCCAGTGCAGTTCCTTGGCGGTTTTTACTTACATTGGAGGATAAGTTTCCATTAAAAAGGAGAATGAAAAACTTTTCGGCGGTTGCGAGTGAGGGACTAGAAAATTGTGAAGAGTGGAGTTAAAAGTTGCTATATTTGGTTTGATTTGTTCTCAAACTTTTCGGTTGTTTGAGTCGCATACTTTTGTCTTCTCATCAAACTCTGGGGTTGAAGTTGGCTTTTAATAGGGACTTAAGCAGTTATACTTTTATAGCTGCAAGCCTGGGAGTCTGGGACTGCTACAGAGTATATACAATATGGATTCTCCTCCGGAAGAAGAGCAACAAGAGGATTACCTTTTCAAGATTGTTTTGGTTGGTGATTCAGCCGTTGGGAAATCAAATTTGCTTGCTAGATTTGCTAGAGATGAATTTTATCCTAATTCAAAATCAACAATAGGAGTAGAATTCCAGACACAGAAGATGGAAATAAACGGGAAGGAAGTGAAAGCACAAATATGGGACACGGCAGGTCAGGAACGGTTTAGGGCTGTCACTTCTGCATATTACCGGGGTGCAGTGGGAGCTCTTCTGGTCTATGACATCAGTAGACGACTGACTTTCGAAAACATTGGCAGATGGCTTAATGAACTTCAGAGTAAGCGGTTTCATGTTAACAGTTGTTTTTTTCGGCTGCGCTTTATGTACACAGCCTGTTGACCGGTGTTGTCAAATAGGCGGTGTATAAAAAACATTTTCCTGTCTTTTTACCTCGTCTAACTGATGATCCCTCCGTCTCCATATCAGTTTGACACTTTCTTTGACTTCACGGAGTTTAAGAAAAGCGCTGAAAAGTTTAAGTTGTTTGATGAAAAGTGAAAATTGTGTGGTTGAAATTTGTTTGGAAGAGAGAAAAATAAAGTTATCCATGTATTCATTTCCTAAAAAGGAAAATGGAGAAGCTCGAAGTTGATTTTTATACATCCAAAAATAGATAGTGTAAAGTTGATTTGGAGACGGAGTACAAGTTTTGAAATAAAATTATCTTAGGAGCACTTATTTCCCTATTTTTCAAACCAAAACTCTCGAAATCTTTCCCAAAACATATTTTGGTCATTTGTGCCATTTCCTAGGGGTCAGTGTACATCCAACCCCCCCAACCCCGCAATGGGCGGGAGCGTTTGAGGCACTGAGTAATGTTGTTGTTGTTGTGAAATTTCCTAGATGTGTTCGGGCAGTTTCTGCAACAACTGTTTCCACAGTTTTCAAAAAATGAAGGAGAAAAAAATGTGGACCTAATAAAAAAGCTATTTTATGGTGCATAATAATGTGTTTTTAAAAAACAACTCGTATAAGACTAGTTTGTTTTGCTTGTATGACTTCACATGATCAGTCTCTTATTCAACTTGAGTGTTATTTGATCTCATGCTTTGCTTTGATAAATAAACCAAAGCAAACCAAACAAACCCAATATATCGCTCTGAAGTGTAGGGCCTTGGGGGGGGGTGTATGCGAACGTCACCTTTGCTTTATTTTATTGTACTCAGTATCATATGTGTTGAACAGCTCACAACGACATGAATGTGGTAACAATACTAGTTGGCAACAAGTCGGATCTCATAGATGCTCGGGAGGTCACGACAGGGGAAGGCAAAGCCTTGGCTGAAGCTGAGGGTCTGTTTTTCATGGAAACATCGGCTCTCAATTCCTCAAACGTATCCGAAGCCTTTCAAATGGTTGTTACTGAAATCTACAACATCTTGAGCCGGAAAGTCATCCAATCGCAAGAGCTCAAACAGGACGACTCGGACCGCCTTGCAAGTGGGAAGACTGTGGTTTTGCACGACGAAGAACATAAAGAAGATGGCGAAGGACAGGAAAAGAAAGGTGGGTGCTGTTCATCATGATATCTGGGAGAAGCACACTCTCATCATATGGTGATCAAGTAAAATTTTTACTTGATGCAAGGTAATCTGTGAAAGTGCCATTTTCTTCTGTAAAATATAAACTGTAACTTTTCCCCCTCTTCCATTTCACATACTTTTAGCTGCAGGAGGACAGGCTTTGGTGCTCTATTTCTCTTCTCACAGCTCTTCAGAAGTTTCCCATTTCATTGTAAGGATAAGATTTTGTAGTTCATAGTATAGTTTCACTCTATTGTAAATAATCTCAACTAGAGGTTTTTATTTTATTAATTTTGGTGCAAGTGAAATTGGGTAAAGTCGGGTGAAACCGACCGAATGGAGCATCAATCAACCCAACGGTCAATCAAATTCCCTATTTTCTTCAACTTATTTTTTTGCAACTTACATAGAACTCCCTCAGTCCTCTTTGAAACTTCTCACTTTCCTTTTTGAATTGACCCTTTTCTTTCTTCTCACTTTCCTAATTTGGTAAATTATACGGAGTACTAAACTCAATGACTCTTTTACCCTCCTCCACCCAATTTATCTCTCCTTCGTTCATCGTCACCCTACACTAGATTTTGGGGGCTATAAAGTAACCCTTGATTTGTTTTTTATTCTATCGATTTTTATTTTGAATGGAATGAGATGCGGTTTTGGTTCGGTTTCTTGTTTTGATTTTGGTTTCCTTCTAATGCATTTGGGGCGGATTTGAGGTCGAAGTAAAAGAAGAGGATTGAGGTTAAAGTAAAAAACTTTAGAAATAAAATATTTTTGAAAAAAAAAGTTTTTACACGTGATTCAAAGTGAGACAAGATTTTTTTGGTACAAAGTACAAATTTTGCAATTAGCAGCTTAAAGTATTGTTCCCTTCCTACTTGCGTTACAATTTAGCATTGTTCCTATTTACACCTTATTCAAAAGGTTATTACTAAATCCACCCTATATTTTGGCTAGAGTAAATTTCATAATTGGTCATTTATAACAGGGGGTTTCTATATTTAGTCCTCTATTATCAAATATTACTTTCGTGGTCTTTTTTTAAGGGTGTCTTTCCACAAATGGTCCTTTTTTTGATCTTCCGCCATATGTGTGTTAATTTAAAGGCTAAAAGTATAATTTGACATCAACATTATGACCAGTGACGTGTTCTGATATTGGTTAAGCGGATAACACAAAAATAATGACTATGATTGTGGCCTAGGATTCCGACGGAAGACCACGTTTGTAGACTATGATTGTAGTAGAAATGCAAACGGAACAACCTTTGGAATTGTGTTTGACAAAAAAGATATATTATCAAATTAACACCAATATGATAAAAGATCAAAAAAGGACCATTTGTGGAAAGATACTCATAAAAGAAGGACCACTGGGGTAATATTTGATAATAGAGGACTAAATAGGGAAACCCCCTTGTTATAAAGGACCAATTATGGAATTTTACTCTTTTGGCTATTTTCACTCCTTTTGGTATCAAATGAACAAGTTTACCTTTAATGCTTGAAAAGGGGAAAGAAAGAAGTGAAAGGGCAAAAGTGTCCAATAGAGATTTTGAAAAGTCATTTAAAATTGAGAGGTATTGAATTGAGATTTCAAAAAAAATTCTAAATCTAATGATATTGAATTTGATAGATTTTCAAGGATTGTTAAAAAAATGAATTATGATGGATTTTTAGTTTGAAATATAAATAAAAAGCTTGTTTGCAAATCCAATCAAAAGCTCAGGGATTTTGTGTGGTCTCCAGGGGTCGAACTTCTTCCGCTCATCTTCTCGGTCCTATTTCTCGCTCGATCTTCTCTTCTTTCGCAAGAGCTCATCTTCTCGGTGTCTTCTATCTTTTGTGTTGTCTTTAATTTTTTTTATTCATAAAATTTGACATACATGAAAAATAGTTTAGAGACAATAATACTAGTAGTTTCAAAATAAATTTATTGCTTATGACAATGATCAATATATTAATTTATGCTAATAGATTTATTATAATAATAATAATAATTTATTTTTATTTTAATTATATTATTTTTTTAGTTTTTGATCAATTTCATAAGTATATTTAATGTTAGAGTAATGTATGATTTTTTTAAATAATTCAAATGTATGCATAAATAATCCATGAATTATAAATAATTTACTAGAACCCTATAAAATCCTGTTGATAAAATACAATAAAACCATATAACTCTACGTAAACTTAAAATAATCCATTGATTTTACAGAATCCACAGTTCTAAACAATCTTTCAAAATCTTATTTTTTAAAAACATAATGATTAGTTGAGGAGAATATGAGATGAATGAGTAGCGATGCCCTAAGGCCATTCGTAGTGCCTCACATGCCTCTTCTCGTGATCTTCCGTGGCATTGCCACATCACATGTGGTCACAGATGAACATCGCCACATTGTCCCGTGAGAGATCGGCGTGAGTGATGGGGAAGAGAGCAATGGCCACGGTCATGGAAGAAAGAAGCAAAGCTTAATTTTTTAATATGTTATTAAATTATTTGTTCATAATGTTTTATACGTATGTCATTACTTGATATATATGTGTGTGTGTGTCATTGGGAATATTTAGACTTGTAGTCTTTTTTACGACAAATTAAATATAGTTTTGAACAAATAAATATTACTATAAAAACAAAAAATCTATTATATATAAAATTTTAAAATGTGACATATGGAATTGACATTATACTCCGTAACTGAGTATTGTTTTTTCACAATGGGTGACGTAAAGAGTGCTTATTAGTTATTAACATGTTACATTAGTTT